TTCCAATTCTTCATTGCAATTCAACTACCTTGTGACAAACTACTGCAATATCATATATATATATATACACACACACACAAGCGCGCGCGCACAAACACACACACACACACACACACACACATACACACACACACACACACACACACACACACACACACACACACACACACACACACACACACACACACACACACACACACACACATACACACATTAAATTCTTTTTTTTTTTCATTTCCGAAAACTTTATTCCTTTTATTGTCAATATAAAACATCTGCTCAGGCGTTTCTGGAGCTTTGGTCCTGCTTCACACTGAAGCATGTGGTGTCTCCTTATGCAAGTTCCTTATGCCTCTTCTTCAGCCAGCAATGAATGGGTACCCGGTAGGATGAGATGGTAATGCGATAGTTAACTTTCAAGCGCCACACCGACGGGTTGGGTTGTATACTCCCCAGGGAACTGAGCATGAAAATCGAGTGCACACTGGGTTGTGGCAGTTTGTGTTTTTGGAGGACAGTTTAAAAATGTGGATATTTCCAGACACTTTTCTCATCATGTAGACTCTGTTTCTACCATCGTCGAAAAATGATTGATACTTTTAATTTACAATAGTGGTCAATCAGTGAACGTTTGGTTCTGTTCAGCCATGAGTGGGTGAATTTGGTTTAGCGCCGCCCTGAACAGTTGTTTGATTAGGTGTCTGTGACGTTTACCACTTTCGTTACACCCACAAGCCCGGGTACGATAAACGGAGTATCATAATCACAACGAATCAGGTATTAGAACCAACAATCAGAGGATCCTAGCACGACCAAGGGACGCAAATGTCCGCGGAGAATCTAGACGATCGGGCTACCGGTGCCAGTTTAACCATTGAAAATATAAATATTTTCTGCCAGATAGTGAAGAGCACGTGTGCGGATAACACAATCAATCACGACTACAAAGCATGAAGATAGAACATTCGCAATACATCTTTGTAAAAGATTATCACTTAATTTGAACATCATGAAATGTGTTCTATATTTTCATTTGACGTAACTCAAAGAATATCGCATATCGCGACTCTGTGAAAAAAACATCTTCATTGTGTGGTTGGCAAACGTTATCGAATCTAAACTCATGGTTGAAAAGGTTTCAATTATCCTTCAAAAGCACCGCGTTGTCAAATGCATTACCAACATGACGCGCACACATTAAACGGCGGTGTTTATCTGTGGCATAAATGCAAACATGGCCCAACACATCGGACACTTACACAAACAGTTATAAGAGTCAAAACCAAATATCCCTATGGAATGTGTGCAGTTAATGTACATGTATAAATGTTAACCAAAATAGAACTAATGCCGCATTAACAGCTGCATTATCGTTGCCTGGTTCACCATACAACCAACCGCGTTCAATTAGAGATCTATTTGTCGTTAAATACCATCATATGTGACCAGTGTTATCTTAAATAGACGTTCGTTGAGTGATGCAATAGATTAAAAGGTATGCTTACAAACGGATTCATACAAAATCAAACGATCGATCACTGTCGATATTGTTGGCAGAGTACTTCAGGGAGTTATACTGTGGTGTTTTGGAATGAATGTTACGTACGCACAGTCAGCAACATTGCGTCTATTTTTACAGCTCCCTGTGAACGATCGACTCGAGGCCAGGCAATTCAGTCGTCGAATTAACTTACAAATGTTGCAGCACATAGCCGTACCCTTCGCAACCAAGGATGACAAATCTACACGCCACAATTCGTTGACTTATGGCCCCTGGTTGTCCCGGGATCCTCTGATCTCTGATAGTTTGTCAGCACCATACAATAATATAAGCGTAATAATCAATCATAGCGGTTCTCGTGGGTATACATGTATTTTTGACGGGTGCCACCGTTGGGACAGGCTACGCTTACCTTTTCGCGAACACCTGGCATCATCAATATTAGATAGTGATTAATAAAAACAGGTTGATGATATACATGTAGTCGGAATCGTACTATCGACTCTGCTTTTAGCAGATATTTCTAATCAATCTGAAAAGGGTTTTGTCCCTTTTATTTTCATCACAGTAGATGAAAATTTTCATCACACAGATTCGTTACCTTGGGTTTGTTTCCAACACTCAGCAGACTCACTGTAACATAAACTGAACCACTGAAGCGGCGAACAACCCAGCCCACACTATCACTCATCTTTCCGATTCATGTGTGAAGCAAACGTTAAGGATTCTCATTAGTATCCACACACATCCCAGCGCGATAGGTTAATGCCAATAAAAACACGATATCGTTGGAGTAAAAGAGCTTCTGATGAAAGATAATATAACTTGGTTTTATAGTGAAGCCGACCATTATCTTTCGGGGCGGTTTATTTAGTAGTCGTTTTATAACTTGTATGGTAATTAGGTCGACCATAACGTGTTATCTGGTACACGTCTTGTAATTACACCAACACTGATGCAATAATGACATCTTCTACCAAGGTACATCCCTTAACTTGACATTTATGTTGTCGGATGTCCTATGTTTTGCACGCATGGTTAACAAAACTGTTCTTTGTAACAATGTGATGCATAATAATAACCCTTAAGGTATAACCATGCGCGTTGGCCTTGGCTGAATCTGGTTTTAAGAGTTGAAAGTTCAGTTAGGTTTAAAATGTTGAGCATTCAAAAAATAAATGAATAATCAACCATGTTATAATGTTAGTTGATTTTTCACATTGTTATGGTTATTATTCTGATTACAAGTATCTTAATTATACGATTTTATCTTAACAAAAAGATGCTTTCTGTGAAGACTGTCTTCTCGATTAAAACCTTTTCTCAACATTACTCGTTTTTACACACACAAAATAATGTGTACGTTTAATGTTATCCAAATCCCAGAATAAATATTCTTAACGTTGAATGAAAAGCATAGAAAAGAGCGCTGAAAATGCCAAGCGCTCCAAAATGTGTAACTAATAGTCTCTTAATGCGAAACAATCCAACAAATGCATACAGCAAGTGCGCACAGCCCCCGTCTGTCAAAGAAACCGTCACAACCATTTAAAGAGTATTAACAAGAGACTCGAGCAGGAATCTCGTCATTTCTCGGTCTAGACGTGATCGTTGGCGAGATTCACGTGTGAGTATCAGGAGGATGATGTGTTGACATCTGTGTGTTATGTGATTAGGAGGAGGTAGCCTGTGGGAGACAGACAGAGTGACTACCAAAGTGGACGATTTCAATATCGCGACAGTTGTGGTCTAGACATTGAAACGTTTTGTGATTTGAGGGTTTTACTCCCTTATAAATAATTAGAATTAATACAATTCGGAAAATATCTAAATCGAAACGTTCCTATTCATATATAAGGCTTTTAATATCATTAAGGCCAAACTTTGGGATGGGGGTTGAGGAAGAGGGATGTGGGCAAGTAGGGCTGGCCCTGAAGTCTAAGGTGCCGCAATTCGCTGTGCAGAGTTCTGTCCCTTGAACGTGCCGGAAAAACATGATCATGGGTTCGAGTCCCATATTCGTCTTGATTACGTTCCTGTGTTGGACTGAACGATACCCATGCATCGCCTAGATTCGATTACATGACTTGTAGGTGGCCGAAATTTTGCTGGAATATGGCTGACTGGGGCGGAAAAACATCATTCATTCACCATCGTTTCTGTTTGACACGGTTGTGCAAACACTAGTGCCTCTTGTAATATTGTTATAAGGAGGCGTGAGTGAGTATGGTTTTACGCCGCTTTTAGCAATATTCCAGCAATATCACGGCGGGCGACACCAGAAATGGGCTTCACACATTGTATCCATGTCGGGAATCGAACCCGGGTCTTTGACGCTTTAACCACTAGGCTACCCGACCGTTATAAGGATGAATTCCCAGATGGACATCAAATGTATCAAAGAGATAACATGACTACAATCTTTGGTAGACCAGAAAAACTTTGTCGGATTCAAGAAAAGCTTATGGTATCAAATCGAATGTGTCAATAAAAGTCAATTTCGTGTGTTTAAAAAATGTAACGCTGATAATGTCAGTTTCAAGTTTTATTACCCATTTCCAATCCAGCGATAGACTTACTGTCACCTATTAATTCAATATATGAAAATCAGTTGACATATTGCTTATTGCAAATTTGACATAATACAGTTAGGAAGGGATATAGTTCACGTGGTAATCTAAATGTAATTTTGGAGTCATAATACATAATATAAGACTTCATGTTGATGAACGAGTTTTATAAATCTTAAATCTATGAAATTATGTCAATTTGGCGCGTGATGGTCATACCGATGAACTCGTTGACGAATGTAGCGCCACAATTTATCACCTTTAGATATTTATATGAATGTGTTAACAGATACGTATCGAATATTATTGGTGTCCATATAATTTCGTTTATGTTGCTATCGTTTTAATTTGTCTCTTTTTGCACTGATATATGGATTCGGTTCAACACTCACAGATGGTCATTTTTCTATTGGGTACATGCTTCATTTCTTGTACCAAATGATATTCTAAGCACGATCTTCAATCTCAAAATCATATATTTTACTCCGATGGATACATGTCTTTAAGAGTGGCTTAATTTTTCATCACCTCGATTCACAAATTTCGATTTGTACAAATGAAAACCCACACAGAACACAAATATGTGTTTGATGGTACTCGCCTTTGGCTGTAGACACCAGGGCTCTCAGAAACGACAGGATATATGAAACAATTCTACTTCGGAAATTGTCGTTTTCGTTCTATTTTGAAGTTCAGAGACGTGATGGTTTGAATGATTCGGTCGAGTATTTAGAAGCCTCGACGCTGATTGGCTGATTAGAATGTTCACCTGACACGACCTCATGAGGAAGTGTTCACAGATCTTCACGCAGAGAAGTATCGCATCGCGGAAAAAGACCGGATTTTAATGAGATAGCACAATGCTAAGAGGCCTTGCAATTTCGTAACCGGAAGCGGAAAGAGAATAGTATAAAGAAGTAAATGCTTACCTGTCGATTCATTGGCTGATCCACTTCGCCATAGGCAAATGGCTACTTTTGCGTATGCGAACGTCATAATTAGCAACGGAATGAAGTAGAACAGCACGAGTATTGATAATAGGCTTATTTTCTCAAACTTCAGATCCCAGCTTGGCTGACAAATTGTAATATCGTAATGTTCATGGTAAACTGTTTGTAATACTACTAAATCTGGAATGGCAGCTGCGAATGATATTCCCCACAATAACACAATGATCCGTTTAGCTCTCACAGACGTCTGTCGGAACCATAGGGGACGACATATCGCCATCCATCTCTCCATTGATATAGCTGTCAGGGTCAGAACGGACACAAAGACTGATACTTTCTGAAAAGATAAAAAGTCAGAACTTAGTAAAAATAATGTACATATAGCTTATAGCTAAAACGGAAGCTCAGCAAAAATAAAGTAAAAATCAATAATTTTTATGGTTTCATTAATCTGCCGATTTGACAATTTAACACACTAACTAGATGAATATGGAGATGTTTTCGCTTGAGCGTCCGTAGCCGTTTCCCCAGAAGAAAACTGTGCGGTTTTGCTCAGGTGCCGTTTTAGTCTGCACCCATACATACTTGTATATCAATTAATAATTTGGCATAATTGTATATATAAAATGATATATTAACAAACAACTGTTATAGCATTAAAGCAGTTAGGAAAACAGCAATCAATCATGGACATTTTAGAAATTAATATCACTGTACATCAATATGTTATACAAGTAACAATGCATAATCGCAAACTGGTAATCAACAGTAGTATCCTAATAATCTATGTATGAGTGCGTTGTATTTTGTAACCGCAACCGTAAAGCTGTTATAGTGCTTATCATGAGTGACTCCGACACTTGAGTTGTTGCCTTGACGATCCATGCAAGAGTAGTGTGCAACAAAAAATCTTATCTATGCAGTTGATGCAGTGCAGTAATGACACGGGTGTTCTGTAGTCGTCAAAGACGCAACAAATACATTACAGTAACTCACAGTAATTATACTGAATTATTGCTAATGCTGCGTTGAATTTTTAATCCTTTATTCACTGTGATAACACAATGGCATATCCCTAACGTCTAACCCACAGGTCTATGTATGGTAGTACTATATGAATAATGGGGGTGCGGTGTTAGTTCTGTTTTACAAAATGACTTGTTTCAGAATAAATGAGAAGACAAAACAAGATCATAATCACTCTAAATCATATCATGGTTTTCCCAGGAAATTGATTGTTATACTTGATTGTTGTCGATAAGATAACACTTGTCACAAGTCCCAGTTCTTCAGGAACCCTTTTGTGCAATACCACTCAAGTCCTTCAGAGCGAGAAAAATATTTACGTTAATATTTTGATATATTGACACGTATACGCCCTACACGTGTTTGTTTTTAACACATCCTGTACCTTTTACAGGATTAGCAATTCTCTTGGTACTTCAACCTCTCTTGTATAACAGTACAAGGCGCGTTTTCAAGTTACTCGGTCACGCGTTATATTTACAGCGCATATATTCCCACATCAACTGTCACAACATGTCTTATCGATCAGATTAACATGATAAGGAGCTCAATTCGATTCTCTTATTCTCTGATGGGAATAAACGAACAGGTTGTTTTGCAGTCCTCATTTACGCCTGCGTGATGCATGCCCTGTCAGAGACTATATCTTCAAGACATAACATGGTCTTTCCTCTAGAGTTACGATGGCGCCATTCGCTCTGATTTGATTACGTTTTACCAGAGATGATACTGCCTCGTACAATAACATAATGACAGTAGCTGCCAAATCATCGGAAAAACATATATGCTGCCAGTTTCGATCATGTCCTGTGGTTTTAATCTAACAGAATCATACAAAGAAATAAACGTTGATATTACACCATAAATGGGCGTTTTATGTAGAAATTAGATGGTTTATAGTTCGATTTGAGACCAGAACCAGTGCAAAAAAACAATGATTATACAGTCCCAGATGTAGTAGGAATAATCGCCTACCGTACCATGCATATGCCCGGTTTCTATGAAATGTGATTTGAAAGCTGCAATGGCTATTTTTCATTCGACTGGTTGGTTATAAAAGCTACTGCTGTTCAATAACAGCCTCGCTTGAATTATACAGCCCCGTGGTGTTTAAGGTTAGAATTGCTCCCAAGCTACCCATTGTCAAGTATATTCATATTTGTAGGCCATCGGCCCGTATACAATATATATGTAAATATTATAATCCTAGGACAAGAATGAAACATGATTAGTGTACTTGTAAGTATGAATATATGCAAGATTAGAAGATAAGGTATTTCTGACAGTTCTTAGACATAAAGCCTGTTTAATAAATTTAGCACAATTTATAAGTACAAGTATATCATTGCTGTTGAGCTGCATTTCGCATTTGGTTATTGTAGATGGACCATCATATTTTTTTGGTAAATATCTATCTCTGTTTATAATATATTCACTACAGTCAAAAAGAAAATACAATTCATCTTCAGCACTATTGCTGTTACACATTTCACATATCATACGTTTACCATCTTGACATCTAACATTACAGCGTAGAGGCAGTTCGTACAGTCTCAATAGCCGTAAATTCCTTCTATATTATCACTACAGTCAATATATAATATTCAACGTCCAACAATTATTTAGGTGAGTTGAGGTGAAATGGGGTTTAACGTCGCGTCCAAGATTATTGCACTTATATAGCGGTGTGCATGAACGTGTATGTATGTGTGTGGCTGCTTGTACTAGTCCGGACTGATGTCAATTTATAGTGCTAGCTCACTGAGATACCATGCCGCAGTTTAACATGAATACCCCACTCAGACACAGTATACTGACTCCGAGTCGACCAGTCCTTGTTTTAGCCCTTTAAAGCCGAGCACCAGACAGGGTAACAACAAGTACCATCTTTAAACGTCTTTTGATATGACGCGATCGGGGATCGAACCCCCAACTATCTAAAGTATCTATACAACATATGAGAATCTGTTATCTTACTGAGTATACATTGCTTTTCACAATCTAAAAGCCTCTGTTTGAACACCCTAATAAATTGCGAATTGTCGCCAACATCCTGGCTAAATCATACACAACCAAAATCGGGCATATTTACTGATGACTTTAATGTGATGCTCAGGTACATCTACCAGCGGAATCTATTTTTTTCAGAAGAATTAATATTACATCGAATGGGGTACCTATACCGTACGCATTTAATATAATGCCTAGGCTTTTCGCAAGAGGCGCCTGGATGGATCGGGTGTTCGTTGATATGGTTGATGCGTATGACGCTTCTCATAATATCTATCACTGGATTGCCCGGTCAAGACTCAGATATCTCCAGACTATTAATAGGTCGTTTTGTTATGGCTTAAATAAAGCTGCCTGCGACTTAAAGAACATTCACTCATCCACTTTAATTGCATGATCATTGTGAGGGTATTTATGGCGAGCTTTCGCCTTTACATTTGAAAAGATGTATTCGTAAAAAGCTTTCCCAATAAGTAAATAAAGTCCACACCGAATAACAAATTGTGAGCTTATGTAACATTAAAAATGTTAAAGTAACACACTTCCGATTAGGTTTTATCATACAACAATGTGACAGAGCCCCTATATTACAAAGTAAGATGAGGCTCTTCACCACGTGTTTCCGAGAAAGTAAGTTTCCTATTTTGTGTCCATGATATTGGTCACAGATTTCTCATTTTGATGTCAGCTCATCTGCATGTAAAAACCTGACGTGCAAGCCTATTATTTTCGGAGCGGCTTTGTAAACATGCAAATTGCCTGGACACCCAAGAGAGGTAGAAGCGGCTGAGCAAATCACAAACTAACAGAGAGGTCTACAACTGTAGGTCTGACATGAATTGCACTGATACATTTTAGTTTCTTCTTATCTTTTTCTTTCCGTTTGTTTGTTGTTTAATGCCTTAGTCAGTAATATTACAGCTTTTGGACGGCGACCTGTAAATAATCGATTTTGGACTGAATTGATTGACGAGCATTTTCACCAGGTACACCCAATTCAGTAAGTCTCCTTGTTCGTCAAGCAAATCCACTTCAAATATGACTACACCTGACATGTCTACTCTAAATATAACTACATCTCTTATGTCTACTCCAAATATGAATACACCTGATATGTCTACGCCAAATATTGCGTCTCTTAATCTGTCTACTCGAAATATCAGTGAGTGAGTGAGTTAAAGTTTAACGTCACATCGGCAATATTTCAGCCATATCGTGACGAAACAAAATCTGACATTAACACTATATATTAAACTGTATAAATTTCTGCCGACGAAGGGCAGTATAATAACTAGAATATCACAGGTTTTCGTAAAACTAGTTTGAGGACATGTAAAAATATATAACTAACTAATAATTCAACAACACATTATAAAAAAAACGGGCTTTAGATCGCCACCAACTGAAGGTTGATCACCGCGCTGGGGACCATGGGGACTTACAGTACTTTTGCTACCTGCATGGACCCCAGTCGGATTTACATCATCCCTTCAGTTGTTGGCGATGGCTGACAAATTTAGCCAAACATAAAAATAACACATATGCTACGATTAAAAACGTGGAAGAAATAAATATACCTTGAAAGACGTGGTCTTACATACTCCAAATATGAATACATCTGATATGTTTACTCCAAATATGACATCTCTTGATCTGTCTACTCCAAGTATGAATACACCTGATATGTCTACTCCATATATGACATCTCTTGATATGTCTACTCCAAATATGAATAAACCTGATATGTCTACTCCGAATATGACATCTCTTGATATGTCTACGCCAAAATATGAATACACCTGATATGTCTACTCCAAATATGAATACACCTGATATGTCTACTCCAAATATGACATCTCTTGATATGTCTACTCCAAATATGACTACACTTGATATGTCTACTCCAAATAGGTCTACACTTGATATGTCTACTCCAAATAGGTCTACACTTGATATGTCTACTTCTCGAACGACTACACTTGACATATCTACTCCAAATATGGCGATTCAGCAACTACATCAACTAACACTATTCCTGATATGACTACTCTCAATAATATAACTTCCCACCATGACGACTCTCAATAAAACTATTTCCAAATACGACAACTACTTATATGACAAGGCCCATTATCATGATTTCAGGTATCAGTGATATTTTAGTGGCCACAGAGAGAACAGAATCTTATTCCTGTACACATTATACATTTAACTAAACTAATTCAATTTATCCACCAATTACTGGAGCATACTTGCGTCTTATGCCACAATAGAATAATGCTTTTTAATAGTACATGATAC